ATCCGGCGTATAGCGACAGCGTGTTCCAAGTTCCTGCCCCAATATCCAGCAACTTCGCAACCAGCCTCCCAGGGTCCTGGGGGGTCCGAACGCAGTCAGTATCTGGTGTGACACATTTGCTCACGCCAGTGCAAAACACATCTCTTGGCATAAGAGTGGATCAGGTTGTTGATTGTGGCCTGTGGAATGTTGGTCCACTCCTCTTCAATGGCTGTGTGTGTGTGAATTTTTATTTATATGTTGTATTAGCTAATAATCTAATAATGAGTCGTGTGTGTGTGTGTGTGTGTGTGTGTGTGTGTAGATCTCCCTCCTCCTGCAGTGTGTGTGTCCGTCTCTCACGGAGCAGCTTCATGTGGTCGAGGCTCTGCGACAGGAGGAGAGGTGCATCCTGGGAAATTGTCTTAAGGCAATGGAATTATCAGCGGAAAACAACAACCACCAGACGAACTGTTGTCACGGCAACCAGATAATGCTGATGAGGAAGACACTGTGAGCTGATAGGTGCTTATTTCTGCCAGTCACTACTAGAAGCTCTGTGATTGGCTGAAGTGGAGATGCTGTTTTATTTCAGTAGTTTGTGCTGTTCACCACAATCTACTGAGTTAGAGAGCAGCCAAGTGAAGTTAAATTATTTGTTTTAAAAAGGATCAAGGGACTGTCTGCGGCCATATCAATCCACAGAAAGAAGTCCGGTCAACTGTGGACAACTAACATGAGTTTCCTCCATCAGAAGCATGGAATATACTTTTTTAATATTCATTTTTATATCTGTGGAAAGCAAGAAACTATGGATTCATGATGGCTAAACTGTGGCTTAGTAAAGAAGAGAAGGAAAGAGGTTAAAAGACAGATAGCTGGACTTCAGAGAAATCACCAGAAGAAGAAAGGCAGGAAGTAAACACTAACGGGCTCTCTGGAGGAGCTATAATCGAGGATACACTGATGGGTCGTGTGTGTGTGTGTGTGTGTTGAACTTGAATGAACCTGCGTGCGGCTTCATTTAAACTTGAGCTTCTCTGTAACATAAACTTGCGGTTGGCAGGGCGCGGCTCACCTGTCACATGCTTTTGAACATTTAAAAAAATAGAAAAATCTAAATAACAACTTTACTCCATCTCTTCCAGCTCTGTATAATTTACCCAGACGTTGATGATTTGATCGTTTGTTGATAAAACCAGTCGTACCTTTTGCACGTTCAGCCCGCCGGCTACAGCTACACTTTAAATCACCCTTTATTTAAGTTTGACTTTCTTCCTTACGGGCATCAACGTTTTAGTTCGTTTAAGTTCATCGTGGAAAATCACAGGTAGAGACTTGTGTTTGCTTTAGGGAGGATAATCACCCCGTCAATTTATGTGAGGGAACATCAATGTCTGATCATTATTTAAGGAGGAAGGTTCATATGAGTACTGTCAGTCCTGCACAACCCTCCAAATGTTGCACATTGTATACAAAGCTACCTCTTTTAATATCGGCACATCCACTTTTCACACCAATATTTTATTTTGTCATAATATACAGTACCTAGTTTTTGGTATATTGATATTTCATGTACATATTGCTTTATTTTAATGTTATAATGGTTGTCTTAAAATATGATCAGGGGTTTTTCTAGAAAAATATAGTAAAGGAACTACAGCACGGTCACATGACTTCACGTCACCACCGCTAAGCTAAAGGTGGCTAATGTTGGGCTATAAAGGAACTACAGCACGGTCACATGACTTCACGTCACCACCGCTAAGCTAAAGGAGGCTAATGTTGGGCTATAAAGGAACTACAGCACGGTCACATGACTTCACGTCACCACCGCTAAGCTAAAGGTGGCTAATGTTGGGCTATAAAGGAACTACAGCACGGTCACATGACTTCACCACCGCTAAGCTAAAGGTGGCTAATGTTGGGCTATAAAGGAACTACAGCACGGTCACATGACTTCCCGTCACCACCGCTAAGCTAAAGGTGGCTAATGTTGGGCTATAAAGGAACTACAGCACGGTCACATGACTTCACGTCACCACCGCTAAGCTAAAGGTGGCTAATGTTGGGCTATAAAGGAACTACAGCACGGTCACATGACTTCACGTCACCACCGCTAAGCTAAAGGAGGCTAATGTTGGGCTATAAAGGAACTACAGCACGGTCACATGACTTCACGTCACCACCGCTAAGCTAAAGGAGGCTAATGTTGGGCTTGATGAAGTTTAGTCGTCTCATTTAGACACGTATTAGCAACCTCCGTTTATAAATCCACCAGTAGGGTATTTAGTGAGGTATTTTATGTCGTAGAACAAATTCTCCCTCTGTAAAAGCTTCCAGCGGCTCTGAGAGGATCAGATCTTTCAGACCACTTGTTGCTAATAGAGGGATATTTACTCCAACGGGTACAGAGTGTAACCTCAGGTCACTGCACTCAGCAACAACACTGACACAAAGACACACAAAGACACACAGACTCTGCTTTTACAGCAGGGACAGACCACACTGTAAAAGATGTCCGTCTGAAGCAGTCATGTAATCTGTGTTCAGAGAGGCTGCAGAAACAGAGACAGTGATGTTGGGTCTGTTCATGGATTGTTCATCGATATGGAAACTGTGTTATTCTGGTGGCATTTTTTTGAGAGCATTAAAAAAAAGTTTCTATCCAGGTCTATATGCAACAAATAAAGCTAATGACTCAATCAGGCATTTGTTAGGATGAAAACGTCCTACATTGTAGAGTAGGCGCTGTATTTTCTATCTAATTATGTGAAATCAATACTTTTATGACGTGTTAATTGGCATGCATATTAAGTCAGAGAAGGTAACGCAATCAGAGACAAGAAAAAGGGTCCCACTCTAAAAGAGAGAGTGCTGAAAAGCTGCTAACGTGCTAACGGTGGCTCAGTTCATGCCCTCCTCTGTTTTCATGTTGCTTCGCTGTTCTCTGTGCAGGCTGCTGAATGATGACGGCCAATCAAAACAATTTAAAGCCGATGAAAGGAAGCTATTACAACAGAACCGAGGTTAAGTTCTGAGAGGAGGGGGCGACGTTGAGGTGCAACGACAACACGTTATGTAAAAAAAAAAAAAAAATGAAAACGGATAACAAAGTGGAACAATGATGGAGTTAACCGTCCTGTGTTGGCAGCTAATCCCCGGCTTCGGGAAAACAGCAGCAAATTAGCCAGAGAACACACACTCGGGATGGTGCTTGTTGTCATTCCGGAGCCAGTTATGCCGCCGCGGTGACACCTATCTCAACGCTAAACTAATACGGAGGGTCAGGACCTCGCCGTGTTTTGATTGGCCGGCTGGGAGCCGCACAGTGCCGCCAAACACAGACAAACGGGGACCTCCAAACAGGAATGCTGGACAGAGACCCCACCGTGACCTGGGGTGTGAGAGTGTGTGTGTGAGTGGGTGTGAACTCATGACTTTCTGTTTCTTACACACATCACACACACAAATCAGACAGACAGAACTGCACACACACAGTTAGTCTTCAAGTTCACGTTCGTAGTTAGTGACATCTCTTTGTGTACCTTTCTTTTATTTACAGTTGTTTTAACATTTAACCTGATCAATATTGGGTTATTGTTTTCACACTTCTTTGCATTTGAATTACATTCAAGAAACTTCTCCTGCTTTGCAGACTTGTAGTGTCCTGTGTTTATATGTTTTAGTAGCAGTTCGTCTAATATAACATATTAAAAGGTATTATATACACATTTATACGTTTGTGTATATATATGTATATATACGCGTATGTATAGGTATATATATTTATGTGAGTATATACAGTATCTATAAGTATATGTGTGCACGTATATATAGTGTATTTTAACTCAAGTGCGATGCCTTGATAACATGCTGCTATAACAAAACCATTTCCCATGTTTTTGTTTTGAATAAAGTTCATCTTATCTGCTTCAAAGTGCCTCCATCCAGACCAGGAGGAAATCTGTTCCAGGAGGAAATCTGTTCCGTTCAAAATGTAATGAGAATATGCACACTAATTGTTTAGAAAGGTAAGTCTGTGGGTTGGAGCAGACTGTGACACTGACAGTGGGTTTTGGAGGTGACAAGTTAGTAATGTTTCAACAAATTGAACGTATAGTTTAATTTCGTACAACAGGACTCAGATCAAAGTGCGTCCTCATGGAGGTCCACTCAGGCAGAATGAGTGGAAACACCTTTGTGGGAGAACCATACGTGTGCTGACACTTAGAGATTTCCTCACATACTGTGGAATCACTAATGCATGATCAGACACACACACACACACACACACACACACACACACACACACACACACACACACACACACACACACACACACACACACACACACACACACAGGCTGCTGGGTGTGGTGCTCAGTTCATAAGTGAACTCTTGAACTGTGCTCTGGTATTTGGCAGACAGTCATTCAGACTACAGTCAGTCCGATCTGTCTTAACAAGAAGCTGAGGAGTCCTTTAAGAATAAAGGAAATGGGAATCAGGTGGAAGAAGTACTTAGATCCTTTAATTAAGTGAAAGTAATTATTTAATAGGACATACCAAAACTAAAAGCACCCCACCTATTTCAGAATAATATATTTTATTTTTCTGGATTATTATTGGTGATGTTTTTATATGAACATCCTTTACATATTATACTGTGTGTAGTTTTTGTTTGATCTATATTGCATGTACATATTGCTTTTAATTTAATGTTATCAAATGTCTTAAAATATTACCAGGGTTTTTTCTAGAAAACTAAAGTATGAGGTGATACTGTGGCGCTGACCTTGTTTATAATAACTTTTACACTGCCAGGTTTCTTTGTTGATCGAACATCGACATCTATTGATTGATTTGATATGTTGTTTTAATGATATGAATCTGCAGAGTAACTAAAGCTTTCAGATACATTTATTAGAGTAAAAAGTACTTTATTTGCCTCCAAAATATGGCGTAGAGTAAAAATATACAGTAGCATCATATTAAAATACTCAAGTCCATTGTGAATACAGTAAGAATATGCAATAAAAACATAAAATAAAGATATTTATATTGGAGTAAAATCTAACATGAAACATAAAGTAGGGTTACAGTACAGGTTAAGTACCTTCAAATGTAAAGACAGTACTCGGGTAATTCAACATGTCAAAGAATGTGAGCAAGATAAGTTACAAATCTCCAAGGGACAACGTTCAATTAAATACAAATACATATTTATCAAGTATAGTAATCAAGTACATTTACTTTCCACCACTGGGTGAAGGTCGCATAAAGTCCTGAAAGTCAAAATGAAAAAATAGAACAATAATATTATAAATACACTGAACAAAAAGATAAATGCAACACTTTTGTTTTTGCTCCCATTTTTCATGAGATGAACTCAAAGATCTAAAACATTTTCTACATACACAAAATAACCATTTCTCTCAAATCGTTCACAAATCTGAAAAAATCTGTGATAGTGAGCACTTCTCCTTTGCCGAGATAATCCATCCCACCTCACAGGTGTGGCATATCAAGATGCTGATTAGACAGCATGATTATTGCACAGGTGTGCCTTAGGCTGGCCACAATAAAAGGCCACTCTGAAACGTGCAGTTTTGCTTTATTGGGGGGGTCTGGGGGGGGTCCGAAAACCAGTCAGTATCTGGTGTGAGAGTTAGGGTTAGGGTTATGTTGTGAATCGAGTGGCCCGTGGTGGTGGTGGGGTTATGGTATGGGCAGGCGTATGTTATGGACGATGAACACAGGCCACTCGATTCACAACATTACCCTAACCCTAACACCTAACCCTAACCCTAATCCTCACACCAGATACTGACTGGTTTTCGGACCCCCCCAGACCCCCCCAATAAAGCAAAACTGCACGT